TAAATGGCAATTGTTGTTCAAATAGTCGGATTTGACACAATCTTTCCTAAAATGCACTGACTATGACTAAAGTATATGATTTTAGAGTGAAGGATAAAACAAAAATGTATAAAGGCTTTAACCTCTATGATCCGGATGATGTGACTATCACGTTATGAAAAATTTGGCTTGAGGGGTGGGGTAACATGAACTTGTCATCATGAGCATATCTGCTGAAGGCCAGGGTGACAGAGATGACTTACCATGTATATAAAAAGCTGTTGGGAGGGTGATTAGACTAATTTGGGCTTTAGGAAGGGGCTTTTGCATTATTTTCATTGATAAACAAGATTGGAATGTATGATCCATGAGCCATAGCTGGAAGAGCGCTGCCTCCAGCAAGGACACTATTTCCATGCTCAGAATCCTAGTCCTGGCTGCCATGACCAGCGGCACAGATTGTAATATGGAAAATTGAATATTACAAAAAAAATTACACAAATAACAAATTGTTATTCATCATAAATATTACTGAACTGAGTTATGGACTTCCTAGAGAGATGATACGGAGTCTATAAAAGGGAAATAGTCTATTACAATCTGGATGAAGCAAATCAAATGACGAAATAGACAATGCAAAACGGCAAAAAAGCTATAAACACTTATGCAGAAAAAGAGAAAATAACATTGCAAAGGGGGAAGCATGAAGTCTTGTCACACCTATAAGTTGCGAACCCGTCACAGTGGTCGCTCACGTAAGCCTAATGCCCATATCTTGGGCCACACGATGGCAGCAAAGCATCCGGATCTAATGGGTTAAAGTAAAATATGAGGACCCATTATCCTATTCAATTTTCTATTGTGTTGTTTTACATACCCATGTACCAAACTATTTTCATTGATTTCAAGATATTTCCCTATAATCACTGCCTTGCTGAAGTCTTACATCAATGTAATATTTTAGCCCACTAATGATGGTCTTTCCCTGCATCAAAATGAGGCACATGCTAGGCTTTGTGTGCTGTCAACCACTTGAGTAAAACATACATTCAAACCCTCTCTACGCTTTTGACTGTTGTATACACAAATTTTACAAAATGATGTTAAAATAGATTTTATGTATATCATTGAAATACAGCATCTCCTCAATGACTGTAATTAGGGCCAAAGAAGTGACCAGCACAAAACCTATAAGCTAAAAGGTTTGCAATACATTTATATATTTGTGTTCACAACTCACTCCACAAGAGGATATCGCAATTTTTTGTAATGCTTAAACAGATCTTCTTGTGTCACTGATTTTGTGTTTCACAAGTGACACTGGTAGCTTTGAGCTGCTAAATTGCTTCCTATGTTGCTGAAAACCGATATATCTTGACAAAGATATTTTGCAATATAGTATGTTTAAGTTATTTCATCCTGCATTCTATCCCAACAATTTATTCTAGACAAATATTCTTATTTTTTACAGTTTCTGTTGTACTGCCACATATACATGGCTGCATTTCTAATATTTCTCGAAGAAAGTTTTAAGCTATTTCCAATAACACTCAAATCTGTAAAGTGCATTAACCTGTAAATACATTCAATAAACAATAAAACAAATTTCTTGGCACAGTTTCTTGTCCTTAAAGAAAAGAAATATAATAAAAAAAGACCCATATTCCGTGTAACAACACAAACTATTAAGTATACTTGCTTTATGCTTTACCATTATTGTATTTGAAACTAATGTGGATGATCTTTTAGTATGTCACATTTTGTTCCAATGATGTGGAACATCTTGCAACTACAGAGATTGTCCATTACATAAATATGATTTCCATAGATATGAAATATCAACTCTATCTAAGCATATCAAATGGGGTATGAAGTCCATTTCTGAACATAAAATTTTGTTTAAGCATACAGGCATTAGAGCAGGCATGATTGTAAATGGCATGGCTACTTGCAACCTGCCCAATCAAAGCTGTGCTTTGATTGGGCATCATTAGGTGTATCTCAGTTATTGGTACAAATGAAAACAGAAGGTGATAGTAAAAAATTCTAATAATCTACTTGGTAAATAAAAATATCTACTCCTGTTGATCTAAATACCATAAACATATTACTTACCACATTGCTTGTACGGAGATTGGCTTGAAGATGTGTTTCCTCCCTCCTGTGCTTACACTGAATCCTCTATAATACAGAAGAAAAGAAAGAGGGATTTTATTAGTCACTGAAGATGGAAACTGAAATACATAACAACAAAAGCAATTTAATTTTCAATAACATGGGTTTCACAACATGTTTATTGAATTCAGCATTTTTAACACTAATAATCAAGAAAGCATTCAAACAAAATTATAAAAATCATTTAACATCTAAATTTCTATAAAATTTTGTAATCTGGGTTTCTATTAACTAAACAATATCTTACTTTACATATCTATAAAAGAAAATTAGATAAAAGATAACAAATCAAATTCAAAAATCCATACTCACCCATCACCATCTAAATTTATCATTGTGTCTGCCAGAACAGGAACTACCAGACCAATGGATGGTTTTTCAGAACTAAAATCTATGCCTAATAAACAATCTTCTTCAGTATCCTGCCGTCCCATCCTACCCACCACTGTCAAGTACCGCACACGACCAGCGTGTTGTGACTCCAAGCGAACAGCCTAGAAGAGAAGACAATATTGATAATCAAATATATAATAAAGGATCAAATATATAATATCTGTTCATACATAAACTGGTTTCATTTAAACAGCTGGTTGGGCAATATATAAATAAAAAAATATCTTAGAAATCCATTCTTATACCTATAAATTAGCTGTTATCACATACGAAATACCTAATTTGCACTGTAGAATAGTCAGATATGGTATAATTGTATTGTAACATTCCTTACAAATAAAGACTAAAGCAAAATATGAAAAGCAGAACATTATACATTTCTAATACGATTCTCAAATATCTTAAACAAAGTATTGTTTTATCAAATACTTTAATTTCTTAAATATAAGAGACATGTAATTAATATTGATCCTAGATTGTCGGGAAAATGTAGTGTCCACTGTACAATTCTTTTTGTGAAATGTCTCCGCACATAGATGGCACAACATATGCCATGATCTAAAGGAGTCAATTTGCACACCTTGTGACCTAACCTGATTTTACTTTTTCAAGGGAGAGAGAGAGAGAGAGAAAAAAAAAAAAAATAAAAAAAAAATAAAATAAAAAATAAATAATAATAATAATAATAATAATAATAATAATAACATCATTGTTCATAGCAATATTGTTTATACTGTCATTATAATTACAGATATCATAATTATCATAATGAATCTTATTGACACTCCTAACAGAAATAGAAGATAAAAGAAAATATATCTGAAAAACAAGGAAAATGGTATAAAGTTGCGATAAGTAGTATTAGTAACTGGCTTATTGGTGACTTAGTAATTGTGGAGCCATCTATGTGTAAAGATATTTAATCAAGTAAACTCACAGTGGGCATGGTATATACACACACCATTCCAAGAGGTTACAGATTAAGCAGTTATATATAATGGTACTGAAATTAGGATATTTGTAAAAGCATATTACTTTTTGGTGAAACAATCTATAAATGCACAGTACCTCTATAGTTGACTGCTAACAAACATGAACCTATAATAAACAGAAAATATATTCATTTGTGAATACCCTTCATTGTACATTATTTCAATAAGAATACATATTTCAGAAATTCTCACCATGTGAAGTGTGTCCCCTTGACAAAGCAAGTGCAGCATCAACTGCAGGTGTGCCTGGATATCAGGAGGGGCTTTGGTTGTCCGTCTTCCTCTACCCAGTTGGCATTCATTTTTGGGTAATAGTACAGCAAAGCCTGCAGTAGCAATGGATTTACTGATAAATACCTTGTAAGTATAACAAATGACTTACTGTACTTTTATCACATATTATGAATCACATCAATGTTCCACAATATTTATGTCCAGTAATACACTTCTAGCTTTGTACCAGTCATTAACAGAGTAAATGTGGATGACCTAACAGAAACAATTTGTTAAACTTTTAGTTATGTATACTCATAGCACTGGCTGTATGCACAAAGTATACTGATTTTATAAATACTGAAATTTAAAACATACTAATTTCATTTTTCTACTTCAAAACATCATCTCTATGTCACTGGCTATACATGCTTAATAACAAAGTGGTTTATATTCTTAAGGATCTTATGTGACAATTATACACTCCTGCATTTTACAGGCTGAATTGGACCACCTACTGCAAAGGGTTACAGCCCATCCTTTGCATACATTCAGGATTTTCATAGGGTAAGCTTTACATGTACTGTTTAAAAAAAAGGTTCTATTAGTGCGCAGGATATATTATCTAAACAAAAAACTAGAAAAGTAAGTGGGATATAAATAAATGTCAAGCTATTTTTCACAAGCCCATCTAACTCCAGAACCAAATTTGAGTCTGGGATTTATTATAGCTTATTGACAAGATCTAAGTGCACTACCTGAAGTGCACCATCACTATCTCAGAAATGTGTTCAATTTTATCAAGGAGCTGCAACATCACTAAAAAAAAAATTTAAATGTTTAAATTGAAAGTTTGCACAGAATCTATTTTATTTTTGTATAAAACACTAGGTTATATTCAAACTAAATTGAAAGTCTGCAGAGAATCTATCTTATTTTTGTATAAAACACCAGGTTATATTCAAACTATAAAAAAAACACTCTTCTGACACTGACAATAAATACATGAAGACGGTTCAACAGTTTTAAGTTATTACAAATACTGGTCTTTTCCATGTTTCCATGTTTTGACTTATGATTATTAAGGTATTTATACTTTCTTTCTTGCTGCACTAATTAGTCAAGAAAGATGGGCAACCCATTATACAGGTTATTGTGCTTAATTTTGGTGATAAGATTTTAAAGCCAGTTTGAACACACCTAGCCCACAAGAGTGTCTCTATAAGGGAGCTTTCACACCAAGGTGGC